CAGAGCCCCAGAGATGACACAAGTGTCTCTGGCTGTTGAGTTACAGGAGTTTCCACAGGGAGGACTTTTCCAGATACTAAGCTGGATGTTGCATGTCCCTGCTGACCTCACAGGTTGAGCTCTGGTTTTCTCTAATCCGTTCATGTCAAACTACTTCCTATTCAGGTCCTCCAAGAGGCAAGAGCCAAGTTGAAGAAGACAAAGAATCTCAGGAGTCACTCGAATTCCTAAGACAAATCCTGAAGGAAATGCTGCAGAAACAGAGAGGTGGGTCTGTTTCCTCATCCTGAGCCCTGAGACCCATCAGCCGGGGGCTTTAGATCCACGTGTGGACAGGCAGTGGCTGCACAGCGGGAAGGGATCCATCGCAGCCTCGCTGCCCCGCTGCTGCTTTCCCGCCTTGCGGGGCTGTTTCCCCGCCTGGCCTGGCTGCAGCTTCTCCCCGGCCTCTGCAGGAAGGCCTTGAGCATCCCCTGACCCTGTGCCCCAAATGCACCACGGGCCCTGCAGACCAGGAGATCCCCTGCCATTGCCTGGTCTCCCGGCAGCTCCGGTGTGGCGGCTGTTTGCAGGAGGGAGTGCCCTGACCCAGCCCCAAAAGCCCAGGTGTTTTCCTGGACTTTTTGCATATCTTTTATAAGCATTGCCTCCTGAAGATTCCATTTCTCTTACGGAGAACAACTCCATCTGATCCAATTGTCTCTTTTGCTTTTCCTAGAGATGGACCAAGGGGCTGTTCAGAAGTCAGTGTTCCCCAAAGGAAGCAGTGGTTCCGTGCCAGGTTCTGCTGAGGGCAGGGAGGCAATGCCAGGCACAGGTACACGGGGTAATTGCTGTGGTGTGGTCAGCCGGTGTCGGCCATGGGGGTGGCTGTGTGGCAGCAGCTCTTCCCCCAGTGTCCGCTCAGGCCCGTCATGGCAGCAGCCAAAGCAGAAAGCACGATGGGTTGGAGGCATCTGGAGCACATTCTGGAGGCCCCGGGAAACGGGACTCTGGCCCCAAGGTCCCTCCTGCTGCAGTTGCTCCAGGAGCTGGCCCTGAGTCTCGGGAGGCCCAAGGCACCAGAGCAGCCCAGAGCAGGATCCCTCCCACAAGCAGAGGACCAGAGCACTCCCTGGCTCCCACCCTGGGCAGGGGCTCACGTGTCTCCTGAGAGGGCCTGACTCAGTCCCCTTGGGCCGTGGGAGCTGTCCCGGGGTAGGGAGGGATTGGGCTGGCACTGCCTGCTGCAGGGATGGGTTGTGTGCGTGTCCCTCAAAGGAGCGACTGCTCAAGCAGCTCCACTCCCCCCGGGCTCTCCTCCCGGCCTTCTGGGTTTGCTTTGGTGGGACAGCCTGTCCCCAGGGCTGGGAGCCTCCAGGCACCCACACTGAGGGAAACAGAGAACATCCTGGCTGTGTCCAATGTGCTGTTGGCTTAGCAGGGGTGCCCAGGAGGGGCTAATGCTCCAAATTGGACGGGCTAACACTCCAAATTGCTCCCGCAGGTGCAGCCAGTGCGACAATACATGCTCCCAAGATCCAGGAGAGCATTGGTAGAGGTTTCTGTTCAGGAGCACGATGTTTAACTGTGATAATGGCAAGTGTGTTGGGCTGGCAGCTTGCCATCATGTTGTGCTGTGCTGGAATCTGGTACTGGTGGGAAAGAAAACGGTGAGTTGTTTGTTGATCTCCCCCTCAAACAGCTTCTT